AACAAATGCAGCAACTTTTGTTCTAGCACGGCACGAGTTAGACTTGCCAGTCGGCTCCCAACTCAAGACTCATTGCCAGCCATCTCTTTCTGTTTTTCAGACATTCTCTGTCTCTGTCTCTGTCTTCTGTGTGTATTTTGTACAATGAATTCAAGATTGTGCTCAGCTCAGACGGCAGCTAGACAAGATTTGCCATCTGACTTTTGTTGCTGCCAGACTGCCAGACTATTGTTGCTGTTGTTGCTGTTGTTGGTATTGTTGCTTATGTTGCTCTTGTTGTTCTTGTGGTGGCACTGACAGACGCCGGCACCAAGAGGACGACTGTGTGGCATGGAACTTGACATTGCTGCATAGGCCGCCCAGTGTCTGAGTGAGTGCTTCAACGCTAAATGTCATGTTGGCTGACATTAATCCTTGTCGCGTGCATGCACTGTCTGTCACACACACGCACACACTTAACACACACACACTCACACACACAATCTGATTTTACATTTTTAAACTGTTACTTTAAGGCGCAAAGAAATGTGGTTTTTGGCTTGCAAAATATAAATTTAAATCGAGTTATGCAAAAATCATTGTTTGCCATTGAGCAAAAACTATATCGAAATGAAAACTGGCACAACAACTTCTGGCGGTAAACAGTTGCTTAATGAATTTTTAACTGTAACCAAATACCGTTGCAAAGCAACTAAATAAACAAATGCATTTGTTTATGTTTCTCTATTTTTTTTATTGTGCTTTACTCAAATCGAATTGCGCGCTAGAATAAATAAACTTGGATAGTTTGTGTTTATGCCGCAAAGCGTATTAAGCACATTCAAAGGACTCTTGATTTCTGCTATTATTCGGAATCATTTTGTTATTGTTTCTTGTGCATAATATACACATTTGAGCCTCGGATTAACTCCAGTTTTGTAATAATATTTGACAGGAAATCCGAATAATAAAAGTGCATCAAATTCAGATAAAGATTTACTCACAAAATCTCGTCGAGATTGAAAATCATTTCAGTATTGACAAGGAGAATTTAAAGACCTAGGAAATAACTGATAAATATCTGAACACAGGCCAGAAAAATAGCAAACAATATAGAAGAATTACTTTGACTTACTTTGAATCAATAAATATCTATATAATAAAAGAGTAATCAATAAAAAGATGGCTCTTTCTAAAAAACAGTATTTTTCTTATCTTAATACCAAGGAACATTATTTTAAATTTCGAATTATTTAAAATTTTCAGAATGGTTTTAGTTACTCAGTTTTTGAGTTTTTAATAAATATATTTCAGGAAAATATAGAAAAAAGCCTTGCCAATTTTAAGACATTTTTTAACACACAAATTCAAGAACATTTTTTCAGTTTTCTGGGCGACTTTCTAAATTGCAATGCCAATTTTTGTGGTAGCTAATTGCAGCAAATTGGCTGTGTTCTTAAGTTCAAATAAGCAGTAATTATATTGGCTGACTTTGGGGCATGCCACGCCGATCTGTGTCCACTCTACCCGCCTATTTGCATGTGGAGGAGGTTTTTAACGAGCTTCGACAAGGATTTTTTTTAAGTTTATGCAGCGCTAGTTTGTTTGTTTGGGCGCAGGTCGCACGCACAGCGAAATGCTTGCCGCACATGTGGCATGCAATTAGGCTAAAAATAAGTGTATAGCTCGGCATCGATGTATTGTTGTGTGCCGAAAGTTGTCATTATGCAAAATATGTTGCATTATTTATAGCATAAATACAGGCGCTGACATTGCATGTTCGCCTGGCACAAAGTTTGTGGCACACACACACACACACACACAGACAGTGAAGTAAACAAACAAGCTGAAAACCGCAAAGCCAACAACAACAACAGCAACGTGCAACACAATGGCCGCCGCACTTAAAATTAATTGAACTTGAAATAAGTGCCGCTCCACAGTTTGTTTGTAGCTCATGAGAAATTCTGTGGCCAAGCCAAAAGGCAAAAACTTTGACAACACCAACACACACACACGCACAGAGAGAGAGAGAGAGAGTGAGAGAGAGAAAAGCTTTCATTAGTTTTTTGAAGTCGGGGCAAGTTTAATGCTGTCGCATGTCCTGTGTTCTGTGTGTGTCCTGAGTGTTCTGCCCAGCCGTTTATTTCTGCTGCTGCTGCTGCTGCTGCTGCTGGTGCTGCTGCTGCTGATGCTGCTGCCTTCTTCCAGTTTGCTGGTCAAGTTGCAAAAGGCAAACTTAATATTTAGTGCCATTTGCTTGCTCTGACAGTTTGCCGAAGTCAAATTGTTGTTGTTGCTGCTGCTGCTGCTGCTGCTCCTGCTGTGGTTTCTACTTTTTCTTCTACTTTTTTGCTTCTTTTTAAGCAATAGCAGCAGAAGTTGCGAGCGAGTAAAGTGCATTGAAATCTTGGCAAGTAAGTTGAGTAAGCCAACTTGCCACAACAACAACAGCAACAACAACAACAATAGGCAGGCAGCGAACAACAAGGACACAACACGACAAATGGTTTTTATCGCTTTTTTGATGTAGTTTCTGTTGTTGCTGTTCTTCTTGTTGTTGCTGCTCTATTCTTGTGCTATTTTTGTGCAACTTTTTATACATAATGCATAAAAGTTGCCACGCCGCTGACAGTTTGAGTGACCACAGCGCACAATAATAACACACAACAACTAAGAAAACAAGAAGCAACAACAATGTTGGTCAAGCAACATCAGTTGAAACTTTTCGATGTTTTTATTTGGCATCATCAAAATGCGATTTGAGCAGCTTAAGTTATTAAACCTTCATGTAAATTATGCAAAAGAAAACTAACTGACAGCAACAACAACAACAACAAAACAGGGGTGTGTGTGTATGTGTGTGTGTGTGTGTGCTTGTCATTTATCTATTGTTTGTCAAAAAGTAGTACGTGTCAAAGCGTCAGCTAAATTAAGCTGTCATTAAGGACTTAATTAAAGTCCTTTGTTGAAAGTTGACATTGTGTAAAGAAAACGTTTGCTGCTGCTGCGAAAAATACAAATGACAACAACAACAACAACAACTGCTGCTGCTGCTGCTGCTGCTGCTGCACTTGCAGATAGAGCGAGAAAGAGAGAGAGGGGCAAACATGTAAAGCAAAAAGGGATATGACATCAAAGCAGCTAACCGAATATGAGTGCGTGTGTGTGTGTGTGCGTGTTTGTGTGTGTGTGCGTGTGTGTGTGTGTCCTGAGCATGTGTCAAAATTTTCAACAGTATCATGGCATATTGTGTGTGAGTGCGAGGGGGACGGCAAGAGTGCGGGCATAATGAGGCAAGGCGATGCTGCGAAAACTCATTAGCAAGCAAACAGGCAAACAGACAGACAGACAACGAAAGATGCAGACAGAGCGAGAGAGAGTGAGACAGAGACAGAGACAGAGTCGGGCTACTTCCCATTGACAATTGCAGATGGCATTAAATAACACACGCAGCAGAAAACACTTGCCAAAAATGAATATATAAGCGACTTGTCTTTTAATTAAATACATATATAAATATATATATACACACATATATGCATATACACTCATAAAAAAAAATAGCACAAATGAAAATCGCCTTAAAAACTACATAAAATGTTCTGCTTTTATTTTTAAATAATTACCAAACGTTCGTAAAATTTGCAAGATTTTCTTTCCATTTTTATTTTTATTTTTTTAATATATTTCTAAATAATAAATAAGAATGATAAATAATAATTTGTCTAAAAAGTATTTGTCACACTGTCTAAATCTGTCCATAAATTATTTAACAAAACTTTAACTGCATTATTGTATCATCTTAATAATAGAAAATATCTCTAAAAAGCAGAAATTTTATTTTCTTGCTTTTCTTTTTATTTCAAATGAAGAAAATATTTCCAAATTATTGTATTTATCAGTGCTTGCTGCAGTTGACAAGGCGGCAAACAGTTAACAAGCGGCACTCTCTTACTTTGTGGCGCCACAAGGCGGTATTCAATTGCAGCAACTGTGACTGCCAAACTGTTTTTAATTGCCGCCCAAAGGTATGCAACGAGAAACAGCAGCAAAAGCTGCCTCGAAATGCCAGCATTGCCAGCACACCAGACAAAGCCACCTGCATTTCCGCATCCGTCCCTGTGTGTGTGTGTGTGTGTGGGTGGGATTATAGGTGAAGCAAACGTTTCGCATGCAGTGTATGTATCTGTCTGCTTAACAAAATGACTTTTATTTTGAGAGCTCCATTCAAAATTGTTGTCGTCGTCGTCGGCAGCAGTTGCCGGCAGCATTTAAAATAATCACATTTTGAGCATCGAGCATTAAGCACACACACACGCAAAGAGACACAGACAGGCAAATAACGACACTTTAAAATAGCTGCACACAGAGAAAGCGAGAGGGAGATAGCGAAAGCATTCCCAAAAATTGAAACTGTGAATGGCAATGAGAAAGCCAAACAGAGTGCAATTTTTGCATACTTTTCCAACGTTTTGCAACACATTTGTTTAGGCCAATGTGTTCTCATCGCTCTCCCTCACTCTCTCTGTCTCTCTCTCTCTCAATCTCCTCCTTCCAACACACTCCATCCAACAATCAAAAGTGGCAGTGCTGCCATTTGTTCTGCATTCTGCCACCCACTCCATTTTTGGAGATTCTTTGCAAGGTGTCCACTCAAAATTCCAACGGACCACCCTGTCTGGGAATTATGCGGAGCGCAGCCTCAATTTTGGTTGCTTCTGCGCCACAATCCAAATACCAGAAAACTTTGCGACAAATACCGACAATCAATTCTTTTGCGGTCTTAAATTCTAATATAGGAACTTATATTCTACAATTTCATATAACTTTTTATTCTACTTAACCCAAATTAACAAATTTATCAAAATAGGCATATCATTTTGCTTTTGTCAGCTAGCCGGCAGTATTTTCCAGTATATTATCTTGACTATCCAGCAAGTGTTCATCTTGCCATTAGTCACACATTATTCTTTGCCTTAGTCAGTTCGGTCACACTGGCGAGCGTCGCAACTAGTGATCTTGTTGTTGTCTGTTTGTGAAGTTTGCGCGTTCGTCTTTTGTTTGGTTTTCATTATTGGGTTTATTTTTGTGTGTGAAAACCGATCTACTATTCATCAATTGTAATACATTCGCGCAAATAATAAATATTTATATTGCATACCATACACACACTACACACATTGTTCAACATTTTCGAGTCTTTTATTTAGATTTTCAGTGTGTATGCATCTTGACCTAAGTATATGTTCACACACATGCATACGTATGTTAATGTGTGTGTACATTTCTTGCATTCGCTGCAAGTAAATCTGGGTTGCCAGACTCAGCTACTTTTCAAAACATATTGAAATGAAATAGATTAGTTCATATTGACAATATGAGTAGCTAAATGAGTTCATATATGTGTACCTAAATAATAATAATAAATGAATAGAACAGTTTTTTGACACGAGCAACTGAAAATTATCGACAACGAAAATTAAACGCTGCGCGCCGACGCTGTGGCAACCTTACTCAGTCAGCTTCAGCTTGTTTACATGTTACACCGCTCACACGCACGCACGCACCTAGCGCTCTCGCCTCTCGCTCACACCTGTGCGATGGCTTAGCGGAAATGTGAAAGAATTTGTCGGCCAGCTCTTTGTTGTATTTGTTGCGTGGGTTCGCAGCTGAAGAAAAAACCAGTTTGTCGCCTCTTTTGTTTGTATAGTGTGTACCTATTATTTTTATGTTATTGTTTTCATTAATTTTGGAGTGTAAATGCTTCAAAAATTGAATGCAGACCAACGCGCCAAACTGTAAAATTGCAAAACTGTAAATGTGTGTGTGTGCTGTGTATATGCATTTATCATTAACCAATTTTACCAACGCAGAGCAAGGAGGAAATTTATTTAAAATCCATTTGCTGCTGCAAAATCAATTTTGTGGAAATTGCGTTGCAAGTGTAAAAATATTGAGTGACCATTAAAAATAATACAACTTAAATGTGTTAACAGTTATTTAAAAGGAATTTTTTTATTTTGTATATCTGACAAGTAAATTGCCAGCGGTTGCCAGTTGGATCAACAAACACAGTCGACAACATTTTCCCACAGCCATCTCCCTCCCTCTTTCTCTCCTGTGTGCAATTAAAAAAAACACAATAATCCAATTGAGGTTTGGGCAGGCCAGTGTGCCCACACCCATAAAGGAAAAAAGAAAAAAAAACGAGAGAATGCAATTGCTGCAATTGATTCCTTCGTTGCTTGCACTCCTGCTGCTCTGCTGCGGAGCACAACAAATTGCTGGCGACTACGAAAACACATGGAATTTCTACTATGAGCAACCCTGTTGCGCCGGCAACGAGCAATCGAACTACCCGAGACACAAAAGAGGTAAACTTATCAGAGACATTAACGACTGCAATTAACACGCACTTCGATAACCGCATATCGATCAAATTAATTACAAAAATATTTAAATGCTATTTATGCGGCAGCAATTTTCGATTAATCACGCTATTTTTTTGCTAATTCTTAATTGTTTATTTATGAGTGCATCGCGTGAGAGCATTTTAAAAATAGCATAAATAATATTTTTAATCTGTACTCGGGGTATTGATATTAATTTTCAATTTACATGCAAACGCAAAAGAATACAAACAAAAAAAAGATACAATGTGTAATATAAATAAAATAATATGCAATTGTAATTTATTTTCCCCAATATTGTTTTTGTTATTTATCTTATTGGTGGCGATATTAATTCAGCACGTTTTTGTCATTAAAAAAAAAACGTTTTTGTATTGGCTCCGACTACTTTTTAATATGTATTTGTTAACTTTTTTCGTCACCTTTTTTGTTATTGTTGTTGTTATTTATATCATTTTTACAGCAGCGCATAATCTGCATATTAATATCGGAGCCCATTGTTATTCATCTGCATGTCTATGAAACAAATACACACATTTATCAGTTTCATAGCAATAGCCAAGTTAATACTATAACTAGCAGCAATTATTTATAGTTTATGCGTGTCTGTGACAAAGCGTAAGGGATAAAGGATAATAGAGTAGAGCAATAATAACTGAATCCGCTAAAAGTTCAAAGACCCATAAAACAAATTTGCCTAAATACCATTTTTGGTTGTACATTCTATAATTTCAAATGAACAAAGAAAAGAAGAAATAAAAACGATTGTAAAACCGGTTAAATTGTGATTCGCTACCAGACAACATTATATAGTCATTTACATTTAGCCAAAGCACCGAAAACGGCTGGGAAGCCGTTGTCTATTTGTCTAGCTTGCCCATCAAGCCAGTTTCCGACCAGGTTGAAACAAAAAAACCATTCATTAATCATTTTATCGGCCCAATTGTAAATTTTTAACAAAGCTCTGGCCATCGATTTAATAGCATTTTCAAAATAAATTAGCAAACGTGTTTTTTTAAATATTTATTTTAATAACTCTCTTCGATTTACTAACATCTATCATCATCTATCTATTAAAATAAACAAATTAAAAATCACTTAATTTAAATATTGCTTTCAGCATCAAATTATAAAAGAAGAATGCAATTATCTTTCTGTCAGCTGTTTGTTTCTTTTTGTGACATCGACACAAAATTCTCCTGGTGAATTCCAAAAATTCTCCAACGTTCTTCACGAATGTTGAATACATCTTTATATTCTGCTAAAATGTGAGAGTGTAAGAAAAGTTGAAAAGTGAAATCAGGCTATTATTGATATGTATTCCACATTTTGCACTCCATTCTGCAAATATATATGCATAAATGGTTGTACGTGCAACGTTTTCCATACATTTTCCACATTGTCACATATTTAAATCCCAAGTAAATATTTTCTGATTGCGAGTATTTTTATCTAACGTTTTTTGTATAGCCTTTTAAATTTCTTTGGCATTTTCTTGCCAACATTTTTGCTGCAAGAAGCATATGAAGAGTGACAGAGTGGCAGTGGAGAGTGTCCTGTGGCAGCTTCATGTTGCATGTACATGTCCAGTAAACATGTTCTAATAGTTCACGTTCAAAAGATGCTGCCCAATGGGGTTAAATGGTTTGCCTGTATGTGTGTGTGTGTGTGTGTGTGTATGGGGCATGCAACACACGGTTACTTTGGCAGCATCAGCTATAACCGTTGCATAAAAGTTCACGTGCCGAGCTGAAACGAAAGCAACAAAAATAACTATGAGTTGCACTTGTTGTTGCACTTGCAATTGTTGTTGCTGTTGTTGGTGCTGCTTGACGCATATTGTAGTTAACTCGCCGGCTAAGCACTTGTAGCAGGAACGTGAGGCGATTAGAGAAAACGCTGCAAGTTGTTTGCGCATACTTTGAGCATAAAATGCATTGAGGTGTCCGCCTCCCGGAACAGTATCCTATGTCTGTGTGTGTGTGTGTCTGTGTGCTCTGTGTGTGCTTAGCCATTTCAAAAATGCAGCAGCTGCTTTTGGTCAATGTGTGTGTGTGTTTATGTTTTGAGCCATAAATTAAACGCAAAGCCACAAAAAGCTAAAAACTATACAAAATAAAATGTCAACTATAAATTTTAATGGACGTATAAAGTTGCTTGGTTGGCTTTTATTTGCTGCCTGCTTGCCCGCCTGCCTGCTTGCCTGCCACATGCAATGAAAAATTGTTATTTTTATTTATTTAACAAAATTAATTGCATTTCAAGTTTGATCCACAATTTATGTCCAGCTGCAACACACTGTCATTGCACCCAAAAGGTTGCCCCCAAAACTGATGCTCATTTACCCACAAACTTTTCATGTTATGCCTCGCTGCACTCTTGCCCCTTCCCCATTATTGTGCCTCACAAATTTCATCAGTTCATTTGTTGACTCAGTGCCGCAGTGGCAGATGATTCGTGTCTTTATTTTTAAAAATTCCATGCCTCAAACAGAGAATGAGAGAGAGATAGAAAGAGGTAAAGAGAGAGAGAGAGAGTTGTCCCTTGTCTTTTGTTGCCTTTTGGTCTTTTTCTTATTATTCTGTTCTGTGTTTTTGCTGCTCTGCCACGCCCCGCTGTGTTGCTCATTACTGACAGAAAGACTTCATTAGGTAGTCGGCATATATACATAATTATATTATATGTATTCAATAGAGCTGTATGCCTCAGGTAGCAGCCACAGAAAATAAATGATATATGAGACAGTAAATTCAATTGCCTTAGATTTTTGTAAATTATATTTATGTTATTTATGTTTATACATATGGTTTATTTATATTAGATAACATTTCTTTTGTTTATAATATTTATTCCATTCATATATTCGTTTGTATTTATTTGTTATCGTTTCTAGTTTTGCTATGTAATTTGCAATTTATCTGAAATGTGTTGGTCTTTTTCACACTATTTTTAATCAAAAACGTTAACTTAAATGTAGCTTTATTTTACTTTTTTTTATTTGGGAGCTTAACTTAAAGTATGCTGCTGTTTAGTCAACAATTAAATGACTGCTCTTCCAAGCCACATTGAAAATTTTATATTTAATTCCAAACTGAACATAGCAAAACAGTTTGAAATGCACTGCACTGCCGCATGCGAGCAATTCAAACTGTAGCTGGAATGCTTGACCCATTAAACGGTTTTTGTGATAAGTTGAAACAGCGTAGGCGTTATCCAAACACTGACCACGCACAAAACTCACATAACAAACAGCAACAGCAATCTGAGTGTGTTTCTCTGTGTGTGTGTGTGTAAAGTTGGTGTGTGTATTTGTGTTGATGCTCACGCGCAATTAAAACTCAGTGACACGTTTTCATTTAAGTGCTTAAGCATTTGTGTATGTCTCTGTGTGTGTGTGAGTGTGAGTGTGTGTGTGGCTGGGTCGACTTTTATGAGAGTCACATGTTACACAGGGCACATAATGAAAGTTCCTTGCCGCAAATTGAGTAACGAAGTGTGCAGGCGTTGCCACTCGCCTTGTTTTAGTTGATCCTGTTGCCTTTGCCATTCTTGTTCTTGTTATACCCTATAGTCATTTGAAATTGCCACAAAAGGGTAGCACAAAGTTGTGCAAATTGTTGATCTGTAGAACATAAAATATCCATCTGAATTTTTGAAAATCGCCATACATTTGACGGCAAGTCCAACTCAACTTATTATGCAGAAAACATATTTCCAAAAAGATAGGTTTTATCTTTTGAAAGGGTATCATAAAGTCTGGCACTCTCATCTAGCACACTCTCACTTCTTGTTGTTGTTTGTTTGTTGTGGCTGACAAGCTGGTTGAGCTGCGAGAACGCGTTTGTTGCCAACTGGCGTTAATGCAATGTCAAAAGCTGTTAGCTCAAAAGCTGAGAATGCAGGGCAGAAAAGCTGGTGCCAGAGTAGCCATGGTGAAGGGTCTCTCTGTGTGTGTGTGTGCGTGTGTGATTCCTGTCTGAATCCTGTGTCCCAGTTTCTCTTTGATCAGCCTCTTTGCTGTACTGTGGACGGCCCAAAGTGTGTTAACGCCAAAGTTTGCAGCAGCGCTCACCAAATTGAGTTTCAATCCAAACACCTGACACGAAAATTAATAATGTTAGTTCGCCAAGTGTGGCAGGAGAACAAAGCCAGGACAAAGGACATCATTAAAAACTAGGTTTTTCTCGTTTATATTTTTTTTAAGTAAGTATTCTGTCGGAAGTTTTAAGCGCCAGCAAAATCACGTTTCTTTGCACCAACAGCAACTTTGAAGTTGAATTTATGAGCGAAATAACTTGGTTGCAACTAGCGCTTACCAAACTCTTTCTACTTGCCACACATTTCCTTCCGCCCCAACTTCCGCCCTGCAACTGCAGTTCATTGTCAGTGCGAATACCCTGCATCTCAACTGAATATGTCAGCTACAATATGCATTATTCCATAATTTAAATATTAAAATATTTTTACAGAGTAAATTCTTAAATTTATCATTCACTTCATATATGTATATATATGTTTATTAATATTATTGAATTAGAGGGTATTTAGGCGTTCGTTGTGCTTGCTTTGCAATTTTTTCCTATTCTTGTTCTCTGTTCATATTTACAAATCATTAAGCTGCAAAGTTTGCACAATGAGAGAAAGAATGCTTGCCAAAGTTGTATAAAACATTTGATTGATAAACTCAACTCGAGTCGAGTCGAGTCGACTTGGAGCAGATTCCGTTTGCGGCTGATTAAAGCAGCTGATGCAGGAAGTTAAATAAATGGTTCTTATCAGTGAGCGCAGTGTGGGTGGAAACTATTAAATGTATTACACTTAATTAGAATAGCAGCAAAAGCGAGGAACAATCGTCAAACAACAATCGACATTTAACATTTAACTGGGCAAATGGAATTATGTAATGCAAAATGCAATCAGTGGCATATTAATCCAACATTACCATAACAACAAGGGCATAAAGA